ATGTTTATATATGTACGTGTGTATATATATATATATATATGTATGTGTATATGTATATATATATGTATGTGTATATGTATATGTATGTATGTGTACGTGTATATAGATATATGTATGTATGTATGATTGTTTGTGTATATATATGTATGTTTGTGTGTATATATGTATGTATGTGTGTATGTATATATATATGTATTATATATATGTATTTATATATTTTATGTATATATAAACATACGTAAGTTCTTTATATATATAATATGATATGTATGTATATATATTAATTAATATTAGGGGTATTTTGGCCATTTAATCAAAACGCTGCAAAACGCTATCGTAATGTAATATTTTAGTTGCGATTAGAATATTGATGTTTTGTTGCGATTACGGACGATTACGATTCCAGCAATCACTTTTTCAATCACCCGTAATCGCCAGAAGTCGCAATCGTTGCGATTGCGGGCGATTGCGTTACCACCAGTCACACCCTTAGTAGTTAAGAGTGTAATCTGTATAATATATGATTTGTGAAATCAAATAGTATATGAGGATTTGATCATATCTTAGATGCAATTTCAAATGGACGGTCCCACGCCTATTTTTTTCAACCTTCTGATAGGTGGGGCCCAGAATATTTCATTAATGGATAGAGCAACAAAACTTTATATTAAATTCACTTATCATGTCACTTCAACAATTCAATCATTATAATTCCAGAATTAGGGACCTTGATCAGCTTATATATATAGATATATTAAATATATATATAGTTTGCAACACTCGAAACCAATTCCACATGACAACCCAAATAAATGTGTAATGAATAGGAATAATAAATAATAGTTTTATAATTCTTTATTTTTGGTTCGATACATCTATATTCAATGATTCAGATCAAGACTGTATTTGAGTGTGTTGAATATGCCGTAAAATAATTATTAGAATAACCGCAAAAAAAAGGAACTTCTACCCTATTTTGCAAATACATTTATAAATAACATGAGAAATCATTTGTGTGTGCACATAGGAATATGAATATGAATATGAATATATGCCAAATTCAAGGGGGAAATTATAAAATAAAGGAGCCAAAATAGGTGGGGTATGGTGATGTAAAGCAGAAGGAGATATATATAACCATCATCACACTCACGCACACCCACATATATATACACACACACACATATATATATACATTCATAGATATAATAAGTCCATTATAAAAAAAGCCTTCATATCTTCTTCAATCCTTGTCTTGATCCAAACCCCAATATATTATAACCCTTCTTCTCAACATGTAGGTATGTATGTATGTATGTATGTATGTATGCATGCATGTATGTATGTATGTATGTAGGTATGTATGTATGTATGTATGTATGTATGTATGTATGTATGTATGTATGTATGTATGTATGTATGTATGTATGTATGTATGTATGTATGTATGTATGTATGTATGTATGTATGTATGTATGTATGTATGTATGTATGTATAATAGTAAAATCGGTTCTAATAATGTCGAGTATCTCCACGAACATATATATATCATCAACACAACGCTACTTGACAAATTTCACATTGCTACATATTTTTATACACAATATATATATATATATATATATGCCTGTTTATAATTATATCATTATATCTTCATAAAGACTATTGATGGGAAAATAAAACGGTACGACATTAGATGAGAGTAGATTTGTCTTATCAAATTTAATTCGGTAGGTCCAACCAATTGAGTCTTTTTTTTAAGGTAATTGACGTTAGCCATTTTTATTTTTTTCCTATCTTTATTTAATTTCCAACTTTCGTAATTAACCAATATATTATAAAATTTTACATATAAAAAATAATATTGCATATTACATTTTTTTTTTCATAGAAGAAAAATATTTCATTTTGAAATAAATTATTTTAGATTATTTTTCGATTAGATTATTTTTTAGATTCGGTTTTTAAGAAAATTATATCCATTTTTGTATTATGGTTTTTAAATAACATAAACAAATGTATTTTTTTTTCATTTATTTCTTTCTTCGTATG